ATATTCAAGTGAAATGCTTTATTTTGTTTCAGTTTCACTTCGCACTCTGAAAATATTGATCGATGACCTAATTTTGTGAGGTTACGTCCTGATTGCAGTATTCTCGTTTTTTATTATCTGATACACCGCGGAAGTTCTTCAAATTAATCTCCAACAATTATTTTATGGAATCTAGCTTCTTATTTAATAATTCCTGACATACGGGGCAAAATAAAAAATGCAGGCCAGGGGGCAGGGGGATTATGTACAAAAATATTTGTTTGTGAGATCAGAAGCTAGCGCGCGTATACACTTACATTCGAAGAAAAGATTGTTCAATAGCCAAGTTTTTATTTAGGGAAAAAATATTCTGGAAATCCAAAGTGTTCCGGTAGAAAAGCGAAAGAATTTAACAAATTATCAAACTCTATATACAGTTAGGTTAGGTTAGACGTATCACGAAAAGTTTTTGTATAAGGCACCATTTTAATCTAATAATTTTATTATAAAAGTTTCACCTACTTCTAACCACTGTGTAAATAATTTTTGTAACCAATATTTTCATTTGGTTTCGAAGAGAAAGATGGCGAAGTATATGGTAGGTACAACGTGACTATTCAAAGTGTCTTTAAATTTCTTTACAAGTTTGAGGAATTGAATAATTTTCTGTGGTGTAACTGACGTACATTCGGCGTTAACTAAAAGTCGGTCACCAAGGCGTTATCTCCATGGTAACCACTCGATGTGGCCCGTATCGATCCTTCTCACTTGTCTCATGAATGCGGACCTCCGTCCTGTGGTGCCTTTTCAGCCTATTCATTCCACAGAATTTGGGACAAACGAATGCGAATGTGGAATTTTATATAGACTATAGAGTATATTTTTAATTTGCTTTGAAAATATTTCCTTTTCCTACGTGCGACGCAAAGTATGTACAGATTTGATTAAATGAAGTTTTATTGGATTTTGAATAAAAGAGAAAAACTTCGAACTTTTTTATAATGTTGTGTTAATTTAACGATAAAAATAAATCCATGCTAATATTATAAATGTGAAAGTGTGTTTGTATGTTTGTACTTCTTTCACGTGGAAACGAAGAAACGAATTGACGTGATTTTTCGTGTGGAGATAGTTGGGGGGCTGGAGAGTGACATAGGCTACTTTTTACCGCGGGAGGTTATCTCATTCCCACGGGAAAACACGTTATAATACAATCCAAAACAAATATTTATGATCAGAATTACTTGAAACTTGGCACTAATGCTCTTCAATAAAATTAAATAAATACTTGTTTAAGCATTTCTCGAAATTCATTCTATAAGGGGGTAAAATAGGAAATGAAAGTTAAGGTAGTTTCATACAAACTACCTTTTTAGATAGTTTTAGCGCGAGCGAAGCCGCGGGTTCTGCTAGTTATTATATAAGTATGTATAATAGGTATATTTAAGATGTAACGTGTGTATACGAGTATTTGTTTTCTAAATATAGGTATATTATTTTAAACTACATCTTTCTTTTACCTGAGCGCTCGCCTATTCAATGCCTATGTGTAGAAACAAGAATAATATTAATTTATCCTTGTAAAGTTTCTACGTATAACGAAGATATTGTTAGTATAGCGAAATGATGTCATATGAAATGCACTTACTTTTACCCTTATTAGCTTGCCGATACGAGATACTTTCAATATAATATGAAGAAATCTTGATGACACTGACAGTCGACTTGCTTAAGCAGACGTCCTTAACCCCTAGTGCTGGTGGCACTCAAGATATCCCCTAGATCCCTTCATACTTAAAGTCATTGGAGAAGATGCCTTATAAAAGCGCACCAATTTCCTATTGGGTTAGGATTTAACAAGAGTTTCCCGGGGGAGAAGCCAACTCCTACCGGGCACGTCCCCAGGTGGCGGATAGGGGAATGCCACCCGCTTAGGGCGGCGGGTGGTACCGGAGAAATCCGGCGCGGACCAAATGGCTTGGGTGGGGCCGCTCGTCTAGGCCTCGAGCCGAAGACGTTGCGGCCACCGGTGGTGGGACCGCTTGGTCCCACAACCGGATGATGGGTGCCGGTTGCGGGACTGTGGTCGCAGGCCCGCATCCGGCAGAGGGGTAGGCCCATCGGGAGAGGAGAGCCGGTATTTCGGTGCGCCGTTCTTCCTACCTTCCGCGGCCTAGACGGGGCTGCCACCGTTTGATGGCGGACGCGGTGGGGCTGCAGAGGAAGAGGAGTGTCGGTGTTTCGTTGCCGCTCTCCCTGTCCTCTGCAGCCGATTGGAGGTGGCCCACTTCGGTGGGCGGAGGTTCGGTTTAATGGGGCTGCTCCGGGTACCTCTCTGGTGTAGCAGAGTTGACTGTGGAGCAGCCCCATCGGTGTGGTGGTCAGCCGTTGGCAGACCTGCCGCCGGGGCGCCGTAGTAGTTATGCGCAAGCGATCCTTCGGCGTCCCATTAAGGCGGAGGGGAGGGGAATGTCGGGTTTTAGTGGGTAATATCGGCTCTTCTAGCCGGTGAGCCCCACATCACCACCTGGGGGATCAGGTGGTATGCGTAAATGCTTTTCCCGACATAAAAAAAAAGGATATAACAAGAGTATTATCCACTCTTTCTTAATGCGACAACGACTTTGCAAAATTATTACATTATATTTATTAATAAGTATTACAGGTACCTATTTTTAGATATCGATCATGTTTCTACTTACCATTATTATCAATCGGCACAGAGATAATTTTCGACATTAATCTGCTAAGAGTCCTGGCAAGCTTTTCAGCTTAATCTTTATCCATTATAGCGCGGGAACCTCCAGTTCACTATCGTATGCCATTGTAATTCAATCACACAAATATACCACAGCTTTCGGACATTACAATATGAAGTAACAATTTTCTTGATAAAAAGTATCTTATGTCCTTCCCGGCCTTCCAGGGGTCTCAAACTACCTTCTTACCAAATTTCATCTAAATTGGTTCAGTAAATCCAGAGATTACCCCCTACAAAGTCATAAACTCAAAAACTTTACCTCTATTAGTATAGATTACACTTTACAGTTAACACTGATAGTGACATCTATTTGTATGTCTATCCAGTTATTATGCTATAGTTATTTATTAATTTTTAGTTTTTTAGTCGTATGCACAGGTGTCGCTACGTGCGATTTTAAGACTGTTTAACACCTATCATTCATAGAAAACAGGATTTACTTATACTAACAATAAAAGTAAATAAAAAATGAACTTACAAGATGATAACAAGTTGACGAAGAAACATAGTTTAACATTAATAAATTTTCTTTAAATTGAATTACTTAAAAATATGTTCATTTACTAACAGCGCCATCTATTAGACGAGTATATAACTAAAAGCAATCATTTTGATAGTTGTATTATTTTAGTAGATTTGCGCTAGATGTCACTGTAATTATTTAAATTTTAATAGTTTTATTGTGTATCTAAGTTCTCTCAGGCATACAGATTTCCTCACGATTACAACGAAACTACGATTAGCAAGTGGTAAAGATATATACCTACTATTCTTGATTGCACTTACATGTAAAATACAGAGATCAACAAACAATAAAATTAGCAAAGGTGGATATCATTATACACACCTATAGTCGCAGACATTCCTGTCTTTTTAAGACCTACAATTTTCTTGTACATTGTTTTCATGTATCTTTCGAGGGTGTAAGCAAAAGAAAACAGGCATTTTTTTGACAAAACACCATAGTCATAGTTCAGCCATCTTATACAAAATATTTACCAATTAAATAGGTAGTACACAAACTTTCCTCGTTTATCGCTCATACTATTTATAAATAAAAGCTAACTGAAAAGATAAAAACAAGTTGTGGAAGGGATATAATATTATGCGATCGGATACATATACCTAGGTATCATCCTAGCCGCGAGATGTAAATTACTTATATCCCTGCTACCACGGTAATGTATGCCTGACATTACCGTGCTGCTACTAAATTTTTTTATGTAATAAGTAATTAATTATTATTTTGTATGAAAGACAACTCGGTTGACCAGCTATTGTTTTCCCGTAGGAATGAGAAATCTTCCTGCATTAAAAGGTACCTATCCTAAATGTGAACCCGAATAATAAACTATCACTAGGTATAAAAAAATAGTTAAAAGCCGTTCAGTATATTTTGCGAAAAGCAAACAGATATACAGACGAACAAACAAAAATTTCAACAACTGTTGTTTTGGAGGTTTTCTATATACAATACGTAAGTCAGTTTTTACTTTTAAGTATGTATGTACAGATTTCGCCTTGTTATTTTATTATTATTATTATTGACTTAATCTACATGTATTTACCGAAAATCAGAGAAAAATTTCTTCAATTTGCTATTTTCCATCTAATTGATGAATATATACACGTATCAAAATTTTATGTTTAACTTAGAAAATTGTAAGCCTACAGAAAAGTATTTATTTAATAAGTAGTACGTAGGTACCTACCTACGAACACACCCGAGCGAAGCGAGGATTATAGAATATGTCTGTTATAAAATCTTTGTAAATTTCAGCTCCGTCGGAATTCGTTAGCTGTAAATATATTTAAATAAATATTATGTTGACCCTTCCTGAACTCTTTTTTAATAGGAATAAAAGTATTTACATGAAAGAGTAGGTACTAGATAACACAAATTACATAAGATTTTAGTTTTTTTATTAGATCGCTAAACAAAACACATTATTGAGTAGACGTTGATCATTCAATTTATTTAGTTCACTAAACAAAATTTAGTACAGTCCCATAATATATAACATTAAAACTTTTGTCTACAATTAAACAAAAGTAAAAACATCATTAGGCATATAATAAAAATACTAGGTATTTCAATAATTGTAAAGCAGGAAATAATTTTTAATCTAATAATACATAGGTAAATAGAATGCGCTAAGGCTCAATAAAATTTATCACATTATTTGTCTAAGTTAAACAGTAAAATTTTAAATTAGAAGAAGCGTATTTGGCATTTACATGTTACACAAAAAATCAGCTATGAAATAAAGTCATCTGTAAAAGCCTCTAAATACACTTGTTGTATCCAATGCTTACTATGAGTACTTTGGACTTCATCCAGAGAATTCTTAACATCTTTAGCTCTGCTACTTAAAAGTAACCAAATAATATCTGATATTTTCTGTAAATAAGAATTTGAATGTTTTAACTTAAGGTCACAGTTTGTTGCTCTCTGTAAAACATCTAATACTGTTGTATACAAAATAGATTGCCTTGTAGCAGGCTTGCAAATTGATAAATGGTCAAGTGGAAGTTGGTAAAAAACACCATGACCTAAGTCTGCAGAGTATGGCTCTACAAAGTGTACAGGAACTTTGAATGTTGTGATTAGAGTTGGCAATGTTTCTGCAAAACTTATTGTTTCCCATTTAAATAAATCAGCAAATTTTAAAAATGAACTATGCATTTCTATTAACATGGGAGAGTTTTCTTTTAACTGTTTTACATCTTGAGAAGGCCATAGAATAGCTGCAGCTGCACGGGGCATAGTTGCTAATGCACTACCTTTATGAGGAGTGCTATAAAAAAGAATGGCTTTGGTATTATAACATAATTTCTTTAATTCAGGATCAGTGGTTTGAGCAGCATCTACTAATAATTGTTTAACAATAAGCCCACCCATTGAGTGAGCCAGCCATACCACATTTTTCAATCCTACTCCAGCATCTAACAATGTAGAAGCAAGTTCCTCTGCCCGTGATTCTATGTTAGTGTTTTGTAAAGGACAACCCTCTAACCAATCTGATAATTTACTCCAATAGTTGTAACCTAAAATCCTTAAATTATTACAATCTTTAGGTAACCAATCTTTTGGCCAGCAATACGTATAGTTACATTTATCTTGTTCCTCTTGGGTCAAAGCTATCCTTTTTTTGTTGGCTGAGAAGTCATGACTTCCATCAGGTTCCCTTTTTGCTATTATAGGTATGTCATGTAAAATAACGTCAAAATTGGACAATAATGCCTCTTCTTCTAATTCCTTCATATCTTCAATAACTTGTTGCAAATCAGGATCTAAAAATCTGTTACTGTTAGCTACAACATTATCTTCACATGGATCACACTCAGTATCAGATGCTGTCACTTCTATAATTCCAACAGGTTCAGCACACTTCTTATCTCTTTGACGCCAAGTTACAAAAACACCACCCCTCAAGCCATGGACAAGTAGAGTATCACATGAATGAACATTTTTTGATCTATACAATGGATGCAGCAAAAAAAGTCCTGGCCTGTAGTAAAATTCTCCTGATAGATTTGCTAAACAAACAGCAGCTGAACTAGCTAAGCGAATATCTTTTGATTTCAAAAGGCGGGCAAGTTCCCCAATAAGGCCATTTTGAAAAAAATCTGTTAAAAGATTTACATGTAAGCTTAGAACTGAAAGCACTTTTAAAATTGCAAATTCTATATCTGAATCATTTTTGTACCTCAAAATTAACTCTGCCAATAAAGGCAATATGCCTAATTTAATTAATGTTGCTGTGGAAATGTCTTTGTTGTAATACTTTTGATTATATAAAAATATGTGATGATAAAGAGCTTCAAGACACAAAATGCAAAGCTGCTTTTCACTAATACTATCTGGTTTGGTAGGAATACTATCAACTTCCACTAATAGTTCTTGAATGTTGATAAAGTATTTTGAAAGAAAATGTTGGATGCATCTATGTGGGTTTATAGTTTGTACAGTACTCAACATATCTTTAAATTTATATGATAATAGTTCTGAAGTTAATGCTGCTCTTCGAATATGTATTGGAGGTGGCAGAAAATAGCGTAGATCTACACCATGTGTACGAGCAAGTAAAACAGCTGTAGTTTTATCAAGAGCTTGTGCAATTTTTAAGCAATCCCAATGTTTATTATTTTTAAAAGCAGCTAATTGATCTAAAGCTAAATTCTGTTGCTCTTTATTTCCATTTCGACAGAGCCATAGTAACCTCCAAGCCAATGAATATTTCAAGCTTTTCCAAATGCGAGAAAAGCCTATATTATTAGAAATTTCTTTATCATATTCTACTTTCATTGTTGCATTATAGGAGGGGTCGTCGATGTATATATACTCTACAGATATCTTCTTTTCTACATCCAAAGCATTAGTGTTCACAATTTTACCAATACTTTTATTAATTTCTCTGATATGATAAACTACTAGAAACGCAATTCCTCCAACAATACTACCTACTTTTAAATGTTTTAATATAGGCCTCAAACGATCTTGAAGACTCATGTTAAATTAATGCTCATCTTCATTATATTTATAAATTAAATGTATATTTTACATCCATTTATACATGTTTGACACATTTAATCTAAAAAACATCTAATATATCGGAATATAAATATTTAAAGAATTTCGAGAATCGAGATCAGCAAAACCGTACTTAGTACTTACTATAAATATTACTTGAATATTTTAAATTTTTAATCACAAACTATAAATAATTATTTAAGGCTGCTTTGACAATATAACTTTTGATAATTGAATGTCATTTGTCATATTTTCGACTCTGACATTTCAAAAATCTATGGGCAAGAATTTTGCCTTTTTCTCTCGCCAGACGTCGCGATCACTAAAATTCTCAGTATATTGTAAAGCTCCATATAGTGAATGGATTTATAAACATTTTAAATAAAATGACAAAAGAGCAGTGTCAGAGTGTAAAGAAAATGGACATCATTCGTTCCCATAAGACAAAAACTGAAGAAATTGTGAGCTAAAGCATTATGAGGACCAAAATTCTCAAAATCACAATCTTTATATTTAAGGCTATGTGGCCATCATTATAGAAAAAGTTATTTAGTTATTTTAAAACTCTTAAATCGGCTACAGGTGATTTTTTTTGTACTTTTCCACATTACAGACATATTGTCCCTTTTATTATTGTATAAAAAAATTGATTTCGATTAAATACGCTATGAACGTAGCAATCTTGCAGCCGGATCTCGATCCATTATAATACTTATAATTCTCGTCTCTCATATCGCTCGCGGCTTCATATATTTGTTATTAGCGGCTCACCCTCGCCTCGCTCGGGTTCACCTCTAAAGACACATTAACAGAAATCTATTAGTTCCCATGGGAACCGTTCATTTTTCCGGGATGAATAGTAACCTCTTGTTTGACCGGCAATATAAGGTATCAGCATGCCAAATTTTACTAAATTAGGTGCATAAGTTGTTGTGTACTAAACTGTAAAAGCTACTATAATTTTTAACTAACCCACGGGAGCTCTTTACTTTTCCGGAATGAAAAGTATCTTACATGTTGACCGGGGATATAAGGTACGACCATGCGTTTTATTATATTTATAGATAGAATAAATAACGTATAATAAAACATTAATATATAATAATGAAAATAGTTATAGCGAGTGTACCTTAGAAGATAGACATATACCTACTATTGAGAACTTTTCTATCGACCTTTTTAAGACTTACAATTTTTTTTGTTCCCATGTTTTGATCTATCTCTTAAGGTTGAGCCAGCGTTAGCTATATATGAAAATTTCTAAGCACATCGAATTGTCCTTAGAACCAGTTATTGTGTTTTCCCGTGGGAATGAATAATTTGCCTGTCGTAAAAGGTATCCTAAGGTTGACCCGAGTACTAAGTTATCACTATACAAAATTTAGTTAAAATCGGTTCAGTACTTTTTGCATGAAACGCGCACATCGATTTGGCTAAGTTAGTTTTATTATAGGTATAGATAAGAATAGATATTGCTTATATTTCTAGGGAGGACTCGATAAAACCAGTTATTGTATCTTCCCGTGAGAAAGAAAGATTTTCTTGAAGTAAAAGGTATCCTAAACGTTGACTCGAGTAATAAGTTATCACTTCACCAAATTTCGTTGAAAACGGTTCATTACTTTTCGCGTGAAACGCGCATACAAAAACAGACAAACAGACATACAGGCAAAAAGACAAACAGAATTTTTTTTTAATATCTATTGTTTTGGGGTCTATGTTGTGTACATAATACGTTACAATTAAACAAAAACATCTATCCCACGGGAACCGTACATTTTCCGGGATAAAAAGTAACCTATTTGTTATTCTGATGTATGACCTAAATTGTAAAGTTGCATCAAAATCCAATCAGTATTTTTTGTGTACTAAGTTGTATACAGCTTAGCACACAAAAATTACTGATTGGATTGGACTTATAAGTTATTATATAGTTTTTTAACTATCCCACGGGAACTATTTAATTTTCCGGAATAAAAAGTATCTAAGATGTTACCCGGGGATATAAGGTACCACCATGCAAAATTTCATTAAAATCGATCCAATAGATTCGGAGATTAGCCCGTACAAACAGATAAACAGAGAAACAAAAAAATTGAAAAAAATCTGGATTTGTTCTATTTGTTTTCTTACATCCCCCTGACTCGGTTTTTAGCATTTTTTTGCTATGTACAGACATTCGACCTCTACTGTTTTATTAAAGTATAGATGTAGAACTGTTGTGTTGAATTTTTAACATAATAGTGGTAAGGAAAAAGAAATTCTTACTATAAATGTGATAAAAAATAATAAATATTTAATAATGTATATAGTGTATATTTATTTAAAAAGAAACATCTTATAATTACAATACTATATGGTATCTATCCGTTTAATTCTTATCCCAAATTTATAAGTTTACAATAATCTATTATAAAGGTTTTAACCTACTAGGTACGTATCTATGTTTGAAATGAAGTTTGCCATAATGTTGTCTTAATCTAGCAATTGACTAATCACTTTAGGAAAAGTTTCTTAAATATCAATGTAAGGTTCTATTTAAGACATGCCACAAAAATACAATTTCAGTAATAGTATACATAAAGAATAAAGGTTTTTCACAATTATTATAAATAGTGTGATATATTATTTTATTATGGACGATTGTCTTTATTCGAATGCATTAAACCATTAATGGAACCATTCAAGCTAAGGGACGCACCCGAGTGAAGCGAGGGTAAGTAGCAAGTTCTTTCAAAAACTGACAAGTTTTTTTTAAATTGAATACGTACTATAAAGAAGTATTAAATGTGCGCATTGTTGATTTGTTTGATCGCTTAAAATCGCAAATTTTATAGAATGACAGACTGAATATTAAATTTTAAAAGTTATTAGTATGGACCATAACTGGTCGACGTAGCTAGGGCCGACCTCGGCACCACTCCCAATAAAATATAATAATGGGATGTAACGTTGCATTTTACCTAATCATTTTATAGCGATCGAAGCCCATAGCAATAATAATTTTTCCTTGCCATATGGAAGCTCTGAGCATCAGCTAGACTCAAGGAATAAACTATTATTAGCAATTAAGTAAAACTTAAAATAAAAAACAAAAACAACAATTTTTTTATACTTTTTAATAGATAAAGCAAATCGTCAGTCAAATTGGAAAGCAGCATCATAAACGTGTTGCTCTTTGTCTACGAGGATATTGACTCACGTTTAGTTTAATCCGTTTAATATTAAATTTGTTCGGTATAAAATTCCCAGAAAAGATGCTACGTTATTAGTAACTTAGTTATTAGTACTACTTTTTGCACGGCTATTATATGTAGAGTAGCGAAGGTAATTTAAGTGACGCATTTATTATTAAATGCAGTTCTTCTATTCATACAATTAAATGTAAATAATACAAATTACAATACTGTTTAATATAGGTACTTATTATGTATAAAATAAACAAAATAATAAAGGCAAATTTTATCTTTATTCATAAACAATATAATGTTCTTATTGCCATGTGTTTTTTATCCACGTATTATGTGTATCTATCTTGTTATGCGTTAATAAAAGTTCCTACTAACTGTGCTTCATTCAACAGTATTTAAATATTACATTTCAATAATTATTTATTTTTATATTGCACCTGCAGTAAACCGGGCTACTGACACACCTGTCGCAGGGGCAATCTAGGGAGCGCGGCGGTCGGGGCAATATCGGAGCTGTCTCTATACACATGCCTGTTATTCAGTTTTCGGGTAGAAGTTTAGCTAAACTCACGCGTTAAGAATGGCCCCAATATTATCGAAAAATCAAAAGACAGTTCTGCCAACACTTGAAATTTATCCCCCTTTGAGTAATTCCAAAAATTCCTAAAACCTCTTAAGTGATAATTTGAAAAAAGACGGTTTTTATCTAATACTATTTTTTTCATTTTTAATATATTTAATTTTAAATAATTACAAGAAGCGTTTATAACTTATTTATGGTTATTATAATAATAATTATATATAAACATTTAATAATAATAATAATAAATTTCATAAATAACTTAGAAAATAATAAAAAAAATGATAAATTATGCAAATGGTATTTAAAGATATATGATTTTTTCAAGTCTTTAAAAGAAAATTTATGAAACGTTATTTATATTTAAGTGATGTTATTAAAGAAAACTAAAAAAAACCTGATGTTTTTTTTTATCCCTAAATTTGAGGGGAAGGCTCCTAAGTTACTACACTGTCAAAAGATCGGTAAAGAAATTGCCCCGATCGCGTTACACGCGGCTACATGCAGGGCGCCAGGGGCAATCTAGGGACTAAAGATAGTGGTTTGCCCCTCCTTGCCTATACACATCACAATTTAGATGGCAATTAATGATCATCTCCACTTTTACACCCTAGATTACCCCGGCAGGTGTGTGAGTAACCTACTTAAACAGCATAAAAATTTTAAGGGCGCGCCGAGGCAGCGAAACGTTATTACCGAAATAATTGCGTTCGTTTGAACCCTTGCTGTATTGTTATTACTAAAACTTCCATTATGCAATTAATATGTAGGATATTTAAGCATTTATTCTATAAATCGTACACTTTGGAAACATGATTACTTGTAGTTTACTCGATAGAAAAAAAAATCTAAATGATCTCTAAAAAACAAAATAAACCCTTAGTGTGGCGTAAATAATTCAAGGAAGTTCATCAGTTTTTTAATAATAAGAAAACTATACGTTTTCTAAAACGCATACACTTTACATTTTCAAAATGTGTATTCGTCTTAATAATACCAAGGATATACCTAAATTCGCACGCGTTCCGTCCATCCTATCCACACTCCTCGCTGCCCGCTTTCGTCCTACTAAAATCAATTAGCGCCAAAAGCTCGGTGCCCCCTTATGATATTATATTATACTGATTATCTTTTTCTTCTATTTCTTGCCAATATATGTGCCAGTTATATCCATTACTTCAATTCACACTTTGGAAATTTATTAGGAATTAATAAATGAACAATTATATTAGGTATATAAATATTTTCTGTGATTTTAATTTCTATGCAGATAGGGATCTTGTAAAAGACGTCTTAAAAATATGTTTCAATTATGCTACGCGTAGTGTTTGTCTTTGGACTCATTAGAAATATAATTTTAAATTGTTTACAGTTTAAGGATCTATTAAAATATTTCCTTTGAATTCTAAATACTTATCAGTATAAAATTATAAAAATGAAGAGGGTGTAAATAAGTGCTATGGAGTGTATGATGTTAACTGCGTAGTACTGACTTATCATATCATCACAAGGAAAAAGTGTCTCTGCATCTAATTCATAATAAACATAATCAGTTTATTGGTTTGGCAGAGTTTGAAAATTAAATATGTGTTCGCACCTTATGACAAAATATATCTAAGCTGACATTTGCTAGCACCTGTGTCAATAAAACATTTTTTGTCAATCAAAAGTCAAAAATCTACTAAATAGTAAAAAAAAATATACCTACTAATTCTTCTAAGATCACTATGTTGTCTGTAATATACCTGTTCGACTTCATAAATTTGTTTCTTATATTGTTTTAAATACAATGTATTGTTTGTCATCCATGTCCATAAATATTATAAATGTGAAAGTGTGTTTGTTTGTTTATTTGTCCTTCTTTCACGTCGAAACGGAGTTACGGATTGGCGTAATTTTTTGTGTGGAGATAGTGGGACGGCTGGCTACTTTTTATCGCGGGAGATTATCGAATTCCCACAGGAAAACACATTATAATACAATTACAATCCAAAATAATATTTATGACCAGAACTACTTGAAACTTGGTAGGTATTAATGCTCTACTAAAAAATTCAATAAATACGTGTCTAAGCATTTTTCGAAATTCATCCTGTAAGAGGGTAAAATAGAGGATGAAAGTTTGTATGAAACTACCTTTTCAGAAATTTCGAAGTTTTAGCGCGAGCGAAGCCGCGGGTTCTACTAGTACCTACTCAATAAATTTTATATTACTGGACATATATTTCAATTTCCTATATGAGTTAATATTACATTAATAAGAATGCTGTTACACTTTCAGATATTTTTAATATTTTATCTAGAAAAGAAAATAAATCTCAATTATATAATTGATAAAAGTAATTGCATTGCTATATTATATACGCGACTGTCAACCAACTTGCTTATTTACTAGCTTTTCCTTCACCGCTTCTTTTCCTCGTTGCCGACGCATGGACATGCACCAATTATATCTGAAAAATAATAATAGGTATATATAAATGTTACTTTTTTAAAGTTGATACTTTTATATACAAAAAAACAAACCAAAAGATATATTTTTTATGTAATAAATATCTATATATGTTTATATATACACTATACAGTGCTATAATTTACCAGTAAACATATTCGTGTTCATAGAATATGGTCGTAATAGGAGTGCACGGGTGTAGACGTAGATGGCGTTGCAGGTGCTGAAGCTATTGGGGTCGGTGGTGGCAGGGCTGGCAACGGGGTAGGAGGTTTTCTGTCCGGCAGTGCAGGCAGTGGCGAAGACAAGTGATGTCCAAAACCTCCTAAACTACTTATAGAGGAACCCCCTAACGATCCCCCAGACAACATTTGACCATGTACCCCTCGCATACCCGCAAACATGGACGCCGCACCTTTGAAAAGAATATTAAAAATAAATTTACAGTTTTAGCGAAGTAAGCCCTAATATTATTCCACAATTTGTACATTTTTCTGGTACATCTAACGGATAAATTATCACACCGTTAGGTTGGGGCTTTAACACAGTAATTTAAATTCGTATCTAGGTGTACAGAAAAGTAAAAGATACAACAATTTGTATCAATTTAGAATGTTATTGTACTACCACTATCGAAAATTATAGAACCAATAAGGCATGTGTAGTACTTTTTCAACTAGACTGATAGTACTAACGAAAATTGTTAAAAACCTAAAAAAGGGTTAATTAGACCAGAGTCGATAATTTTTGAAACCAAAAAAAATAATAGTAGGATGCAACCCATTAGAAAAGGAGGGGAATATTATAAAAATGAAAGGAAAAATAATTTACGGGCGATCTGAGGTCGGGAAGGGGGTGGGTGGGGAGCTTTTAAGGGTAAAAAACGGTTTTAATCGAATCAAAATGTATAAAAAATATATTATGAATATATATAAAAAATCTATACTATACATATTTTTTATATATTTATACATAAAAAATATGTGTAGTATAGATTTTTAATATATTTATAATATATTTTTATACATTTTGACATTTATTTCTTTAATATATTTTTTTCATTGGGGTATACTCACGATAAAATAGTGAAGGCATTATTAATTCGAATTTTGTCTTTTCAGATTATCAGTATGGATGAATCTGTTTGTATCATCTGCAATAAGGCAGATGATAAGCAAGTGTATGAAATAAAAAAGGTTTTTTGTTTTTTGCATTTTCTCAGAAGATTTACTATAGTAACATATATTTTTTTTTCACCATCGGAAAGTAGAGATTTCAACGAACAGAAAACACACCAACTTTTTGAAAAAAGCTGATATTTTGACGGGTGAATTTTCGATTGAAAATTAGGGTGCTTTTTCGATATTAATTCAAAATAAGGTGAAAAAATAAATATTTTTAATCAAATAAATTACAGCGTATTTGGGACATAAAAAGGTAAGTTTTCACCAAATTTCGTTAAAACAAAAACATTTTTGTAAAAGATAAAAATAAAAAACCAAAAACTTGGTTTTTTGAATTTTTCACATAAATTTTGAGGTTATGTGAAAAAAGTGTAAATACAAAAGTTTTAGATCTTTTTATTACCTACAACTTCGCCATTTGATTTTTTTCGATAGGACATTTAGTTTTGCCGGAAATCGAGAAAAACCGTTTTTTACCCTTAAAAGCTCGCCCCGCCCCCACCCCCTTCCTGACCTCAGATCGCCCGTAAATTATTTTTCCTTTCATTTTTATAATATTCCCCTCCTTTTCTAATGGGTTGCATCCTACTGTTATTATTTTTTCACTTTTTATTATTTTTAAAGGCTTCTACCCTGGTCTATAATATCAAGAATGTTTATATTAGTTAAATAAAATTAAAAATTCGCTGGATTTTTTGGTTAGGTATAAATAAATAATAATTAGTAAGTAATTAATTATTATAGGTGGAGTTTTTTACATATAGTTTGAGTTTCTTTATGCGAATAAATATTTACTACGAATATCATGTACCAACTACAGATAAAGCTATGGAAAATGTTAATAATGTTTACAGCTTGCCGTACTTAAAGAGAGATTTAATATAGGTACACGGTTATGTAGAAACTCATATTTATATACTCTAAATTGAATGGCTTGCATTCTTATACATAGACAAACCGGGTAATATGAGAGAAAATGTATTCTGACCACATATGTAAATTTTATAATAATAATGTCTCTTTACATAACTGAACATTCAGTAATTAATTTATTTATATAATTAAATTAAAAATATAAGATTTTTTTTATTTTTAAGTCTTAAATTAGTCTTAAAATGATCATTTAACACATAAAAGTAAATTCACATAAAAATGAATATGATGATCGTTAATTTTGATTATTTTTAAAAATTCTAAATTCTATAAATTTGCTATTTATCTAAATTTTATATCGAAATATACTTTTTTATAGCCCTAAATACTCTCTTTAAAATAAACTGAAACACTTTTTTTTAGCTGTCGAGATAATTACAGAAATAAACTAGCAATACTCGAGAAATAGTGAAATTTTGAATTTTCCATAACTTTTGAATATCTTTTTTTATTTTTTTCGTTTTGGTAGAACTTCATTTTATGATAAAAGGAAATATATATCCCACCCATCGAAATCGAAAGGGATTGATTCCAACCATTGGTCGATTTGAAATGGAATGAATACATCATTATGATATAACAAAATATTATACTGAGATAGTTGATCAATAAATAATGTAAAACTATGTCTCATTTCCATCAATTGGTTTTGTTGAAGCATATAATTTGAAAGTACCTACTGTTTTACCAAAACTAGATTGTGGATGGATATTAATAGTACCTATGTATTTTTACCACCCACTACCACCACTCCAGAAAAAAAGCTAATATAAACAACAGTGTTCAATTCGAACTTATATTGTTTGTCCCTACTTAAAGAAAATGAGTGAGTCAATGAAGTTCCAAGCGGACCAAGCTAGTTCATCGCGTTTCATTGCAAATTGATTTCTATCGGTTTTGTTTGTTTATTTTTTATAAAATAATCAAAATATTAGATATCTTACAAAGAAATATTAATAATATAAAATTGAAAACATTTTGTTATTTTGGTCTTTAAAAACATAAAGGGTTAGATATTCATAGAGCCAAATGAATATTTATAACAAAACAGAAAATAGCAATCATTTATTTACAAACATAAAAATACACTGAAAATAAAATTATAAGTAACACTAATGGTTGACAATAAACAAATAGGTATGTCAACTGATATCGTATATGAAACTGCTGTTTCATTAAACATTAAAAATTAAAAAGTAATAAGATTGAACACCTCACATATATGTACCTATTATGTAACTCTGATTAACTTTACGTGGATAATGATTTAAATGGAAAGGCGACGAAAACTAGACTTTGTCTACGAGTATTTTCCTTGCCCGCGCTTGATGCTGATACAAACTGCGCCAGTCTACACGGTATGTGACTGACAACGCGTTGATTCATGTAACCGCGGTCGGTGGTCGGCGGGTGTAAAATTTCTGATATGTTCAGAATTAAATTTGTTGCTGTGAAGCTATAATTGCACGTCGTAAGTTCCCATCGATTCCGGCTGGCCTGCCGCTCGTCTGTTGTCGCCCACATGCACGCCTCGGTACCTAATCGCTTTAACTTAAACAAACCACCCAATTGGATGATTTTGGAAATAAATTCTTACTGGGAGCTTCTATTTTCTAAGTATGTACGTACACATGTTTTAAACTGATCTGAATTCGTTACAGAATGATCTTTCGTGTGGTCTGTGATCGATGTTAGTACGTAAAGATAAAAGTAAAATTATAAAAATTCTATTGTGATATTGTAAAAATGGTTACATCATGCACTTAGTGAACTCTCTGGATTTCACACTCTCGTCCAAGACCTATCGTCACTCTACATTTCTTTGATTAACCGAAAAGCTTGCCGACGGATTAAATTACTCTCAAGTTTATACACGATGATAGACGCTTGCCACGTACTCAATCCACAATAGTAATATATAGTAGCTATAGATTTATTAAAATTAAATAATTACATCATAATACTGATATTCTATTAATGTATATATACCTAGTTACCTCGTAAAAACTAAAGTATGTATAATGTATATGATACCTAGATATGTAGCAGGGATGTTGTGAAAGCTATCCGGTACAATCTTAATTGTATTATAATTTCACTACGCACATTCAGTGATATAGATTTTGACAATTACACTACATGATAAGCGCCGCGCCGTTAAATTGTAAAATTGTCATTGATTGGTCAGATTTAAATTTCTTTTTTGATGATCGATAGAGAATCGAAAGGGAATAGAAATGTTATTATTTGTATTATTCATTACTCCATTATTATATGTGGGTTTTTCGTAAGTAGGTATATATACCAAACATAATCTCAATAAAGTACATAACAAACAAAAAACTACTATTTTGTGATATAGGTACATTGTTATTATTATCCATACTAATATTATAAATGTGAAAGTGTGTTTGTTTGTTTGTATTTCTTTCACGTCAAAACTGATTGATCGATTGGCGTGTTTTTTTATGAGGAGATAGAGTACTTGAGAGTGACATAGGCTACTTTTCACCTCGGGAAATTATCACATTCCCACGGGAAACCACGTTATAATACTGCCCACCTGAGCCTAAAGTGCAGTAATAGACATTTTGGTCGGTTTTGAGTTAAATATATATTCAAAATCCCCATTTTAGTAGCTATCAGTCAAATTAATTCTTTTTTCTGTAGCGCTAATAAAAGTATTTTATTTTAATGTTTTTTCGGAAGGTGTAACAGAAAAAATATCACAAATCTGTTAAAATATTCCATGTTTACCAGCTAAACCGCAGTACAATTAATACTGCACAAGATTTTTGTCTGTTTCCTAACTAAACTGCAGTGTTTTATCATATTTTGTGGCACTTAAAATAGTAGTTTGTTCTAGGAGATTCAAGAAAAAACTTATTAAAATGCAGTATTATTCGACTCTATACAAATTAATTATACTGCAAAGGTTAAGAAAAAATATTTTTTATTTATATTCCTAATTAAAGTGCAGTATTAACATTCCATACTGCACATTAACTTGTGGGGGATTTTGTAATTTCTTGTAAAAAACTAAAAGACATGCAGTATTTAATAACTTTACTGCAGTTTAACTTGTAGGATGTTTTGTAGTTGCTTGTAAAAGACCATTTAGTTAACAATATTTATAAATTTTACTGCATATTAGTTAGTTTGCTCCATCCAAGTCATACTACCTAAAATACTTAAAGTCAAATACTATTCCCTAATACTGCGTTTTAATAGGTAAAATTATTAAAATATTAAAACACAGGACAGGCAATATCGCGGTTTGAGGCAGTCCTTCTGTCTGTCTGTCTCAAGGATCTGTGGCTTAAGGCTGACTTGACATGCCATGCTGTGTCTGTACCAAAGAGATATGGAGGGTAGAACTAAGGAGAACTATGTCTCGTATAAAAAGTGACCGCTGACAAGCATTAAATTGGTGGCGCCACAGAAAACAAGTATATGAATCTATACATCTATACAGATAAATAAAATTGTAGTGTCTGTTTGTAATGTCAAAATAAACCTTTTTACTAAATGCATATGAAATTATATACGGTACTTATAAGAAAAACTAATTTTTAATTTTTTTTGTCTGTCTGTTTGTTCCGAATAATCTCTGAAACGGCTGGACTGATTTTGACGGACTTTCAGTGGAAGGTAACTGATGTTATAGGGAGTAATATAGGCTACTTTTATTTTTAAAAAAGAATTAGAGTTCCGCTCAAAAAAAAAAGTATCCAGGGACGAACCCGAGTGAGGCGAGGGTGAGTCGCTAGTTTAAAACATAGCGTCATAAAAGTAAGAAGGTGAATTAAACAAGGAAAGAAAGATTTCCGCTTTGCTGTGGCGCACTTTTCAAAATAGTTCTAGCATAGGCAAACAGCAATATAATTATATATTATTTTCAAGTAATAATAATTCAGCACACTTCACTCTTCAACTTCACATCACATCTACTTGCTACGCTAGTGCTGTAACGGTGAGTTTCTGAGCTATAATTTGCTGCTCACTACTGGACACTTTTTCAACTTGTTTCCCATATAAGTTAATTCTCCTTGGTTCTCCCTTCCATAATCTTTTCAGACTATTATTTTTGTAAGACAAGAATATTCATTTAGTAATTAGTTATGTTCAGAAGAAAGATTTTATGTACATTTTATTGATCCATGCATGAGAAATACATGTGATATAGTTTTATGGTGGATTAACTAGTTAAGATTATCAACATCTTGTAAAGATTGTTATATTGTTAGTCATATAAAACAATTTACACTATTAGATTATAATGTACAATGTTTTGATGAATAGTTTTAATAGCATAGTCATAAATGCATGTCCAGTTTTGTTTAAGAAATTACATATTTTTATCAAAATTAAAGGTAATTTTATATTACTATAAGTGTGGAATATCAGTGTTTTGTTCAAAAAAACAGAATAAATAGCAGTATTTTCATAATATTACTGCAAGTAATAAACTGTAAGTAAGTTAGTAACAATCATGGAAGAAATGTCTAAAATGCAGTAATAACAGGATTTACTGCATTTAAAACAGTTTTTGAAAAGATTATACAAATAAAGTGTGTGTAGTAATAGGGGCTAAAAAATTAAAATTGCCATAATTATAGTTTTTTTATAAAAAAACTAACGTAACAATGTTTAGTATTTTAGTTTGGTACATATTCTTTCACTTTCCATTCAAGGTTTTATCGAAAAGTCTCTTTTTGATATATTTTTATGGATTCTAAACTTTAGGCGCGTTTTTCTCGAATTCGTGTTTTTGCTGTTACTGCACTTTAGGTTCGGGAGGGCAGAATACTACCCAAAAAATTGTTTATGATCAGAATTACTTGAAACTTTGTATTAATGCTCTTCAATACAATTAAATAAATACATGTCTTAGCATTTTTTGAAATTCATCCCATAAAACGGTAAAATAGGAGCTAATTTTTTTTTATGAGACCTACCTTGTTAGTTTTTTTTTAAGATTTTGCGCGAGCGAAGCCACGGGTTCTGCTAGTTATTATATAAGTACCTATATACTGAATTAATTAATTTAATTATTAATGTTGGGTGTGGTGCCGAGGTCGGCCCTAGCTACGTCGACCAGTTTTGGTCCATTGTAGCTCCCTTTATAGTGAGTTTAAAGTTCTCCGCTTAGTCCTGTTGACTCCAGGAACTTCCAGATTTTCTGAGCGGGGAGCATCTGTATCTCTTCCGGTTGCATAATATGCTGCCCTAGATAGATACTTCTGCGGTGCATGAGTGGACCGCACGAGCAGAGGATATGCATAGCAGTTTCCTCTGTCTCATGGCATAGTCTGCACATTGCGGTCTGACTGAGGCCGAGGGTAAACATATGTTTATTGAGTTTGCAGTGACCAGTAAGTATTCTGGTTACTGCACTGGTTTTATACTTGTTGAGTTGAAGCAACTCTTTTGTAAACTTTTTGCGATATCCCTTAATTAGCGCTTTAGAGTGTATTTGTCCAGAAGTGGATTGCCACTCTTGAAGTGCTTGGCGATTGCAGTGAATTTTGAGAATTGAATAGGCATGTTGTTTTGCAATGCCACAGAATGGTTCTGGGCCACAATCTGGGGTTACAGCGCCCCTTCTTGCCAATGCATCAGCCTTTTCATTCCCATCTATGCCTGAGTGTCCCGGGACCCATCTGAGGGTAACTCTGTTGGATGTGCCCAGGACATTCAGATTATCCATACAGTCTTTGACCAACTTAGAGTTGGTCTCAAGAGAATCTATAGCCAGAAGTGCTGCTTGGCTATCTGAGTTGAGTATATACTGAATTTCAATGTTATTTAAATATAATTGTTCAAAACTCGTCAACAGATGGTGTTTCTCAGAAATAAAATACTTTGTAAGGACGCGATGCCGCGGAAAGGAACTATGTTACAATAATATAAGAAGATTTATCAAGTATGGTTTAGAAGAATTCGCATAATTCGCAAAGCAAACAATATATTTGTATAAAATTATACATGATAATATATGCATAATATGATTTCGCCAGCGATTTATGTGAATCCTGAATGCCGGACATTTCAGTTGACGAAAGTAATTAAATTCAACATATTTAAATGTTGTTGCGGCTGTAAATGCAAAGTTTTATTTTTAGAAATACAGTTTTCTCCTAATAAATTAATTTACGACGTGTGGTGATCTAAGCCTAACGTTAATATATAATGTCGATTTAAAAGCACCATTAAGACTTTAGTTGTTATAACTTGAAATGAGTGTTTGGCATTAAGGATTCACGAAGACGCAATATTTGAAAATGTAAAAGGCACAAGACACCATGCAAAATATCAAAATGATTAAATATGGTATAACAAGAATTTTAATATTACTTAATTTGGCAAAAACATAACTAATATAAATGTGACGTTTCACATGGCGTCCTAGGTAATGTGTCCGTAAACCAATTCGCGTAAGCTAAAATTGTAATCTACTTTATACCTGATACTAATATTTGATGTTGAGATCAGTATTAACGTTCTGAACTAATTCAGGTCCC